TGTGGACCTCTCTAGTAATTGTGGGAAATTTTAGGAGACCAAGACAGTAATGTGGGGAACATGGATCTGTATCATGAATCCTGGCCACAGTGGCCAGCACCGTCCCTATGGCAACCATAACTTCATTCTCTAACTCTTAAACCTCCTTCCACTGAAGTTAATTGCCTTCTACTCAAGAAGAGACTCAAGACTACTCAAGCTAAATATGCTTTCTTTGTTTGTTTGGTGCGTATCTACTCTGTTCTTCTCACTTGGATCTTACACACTGAAAGGTTTGGTGGTCCACAATCAGCAGACAATCCCAATGGCCTCAGTGGCTCGTCCAGAGACAAGAATGCAGAAACCCCTCATGCCAGACAGAGTCCATCCCATTGTCCCACCAAGAGTTTGAGGAGAAAATTTTGAGCACTGAAAGCTGCCCACCACTTGTGGCCACTTTGAGGCCTTATCCAAGCTTCATTTTCCACGTTATGCATAGTCATAGGGTTGAAATCAATCTTGAGGAAAAAGTAAAATACTGCTTGTGATGGTTAATGTTATACATCAATGCAACTGGATCACAGAATACCTAGAAACCTGTCAAGCATTATACTGTGGTGTGGGAGTGAGAGTTTCCAGAAGGGATTAGTGTGTGTCTGCCCTGACCATGGACAGGAACGTCTAATCATCCAGGAGTCCTGGAGAGAACAAAACACAGAGGAAAGGCAGCCGGACACACTCCTCCCCCTCCTGTCCATGGACATCAGGACCCCAGGCTCCTTGGCCTGGGGGTGCAGGACTTATCTCAGCAGCCCCCTGGGTTTTCAGAGCTTTGGTTCCAAGCAGAACTATGCTATTGGATACCCTGGATTTGAGGCTTCGGACTTGGACAGAGCCATGCTACCTGCATCCCAGGATCCCAGCATACAGACCCCTGCTGTGGGATCCCTCAGCCCCCCAACTGCATGAGCCGATTACTCTAACAAGTCCCTTCTTGTCACCTGTCTACCAACCTAACGACCTACTTATCTCCCATCCAGTTGGCTGCTCTGGAGAACCCCAAATAATGCGTTGCTCCTGAAAATTAGTCTCCTTTAATTAGCAAGTGCAATAAAGATATGACATTTAGAAACAAATTATGATACATTTCCATCTTTCACTGGCACACTAAATGGGGATATATTGTTCTTTTATAGCTGCCATTTTCAAGTCTTAACTGCTTTAGGGTAACTGGCTTAATACAAGAAATGTCAGTTTGATCATTAACCCTCAGCCCCATTAATTGAAAAATATTGACTTCAGAAAGGGAAAGGCAGTTATAATATCAAGGGAAATCATACATTTAGGTATTAAAACTATATATAACTTGTTTTACAAAAGTAAAAGAAAATTTTTAAAATTCTAAATAGTTATTAACAAAACTAATTACCAAATATAAATTAGCTAATCCAGAATCATCTTCATTTGTTTATGAATTCATTAACTTTCTTGGATGTGTGCCAATTATATCCCTGACAAAAGTTTCATTACTTTTATGGAATCAAATGGGAGAAAAAATAAAAATAACACAAATTCATATATGATTACAAACTATAAGCCTTCAAGCAAAAATTACAAAATTTGATTGATCTCATTTGTTAATTCTTTGTAACATTTCCTGTGCAGCTGGGCATTTTGTGGTGTGTATATCATGATCTGACTCACTGACAGTATAATCTGAGATATGATGGAATAAAACCAGTCAGAGCTGGAGTAAAGGCGGAAAAGTAGCATTTCATACAGAAAGGAAACCACAACACGTTTCAGGAACTGATTAAAACCAAGTGTGGCCAGAGCCCAGAGAAGGGAGAGAAAAGCACATGATAAAGCGGGTAAGTCAGCAGGGGCCCATCACCCAGCCTCGTTAAGGACCTGCTCTATCCTAGTAGGAACAGGATGGGCCGGGGATTTAGTTCAGTGGTTCTGGCGCCTGCCTTGCAAGTGCAAGGTCCCAAGTTCGATTCCTGGTACCCCCCCCCCCAAAAAAGAAAAGAAACAGGAAGTCCCTAACATTTTGAGGAAATAACATGACCACTGACCTGAATTTTAGAACAATCACTCTGGTGGAAGCAATCAGAATAGACTGGGAAAGAGAAAAAGTAAATTCCAGAGATGACTTGGAAGGCAACTGCAAAATTCCAAGTGAGACATATGGTAACCCTCCACAAAGTCTCAAGCTATTTGTGTCCTATGATTGACCTATTTTCACAGAATTATGTGTGGCAGAGCTAAAAAAAAAAAAAAAAAAGTGTTAAAATAGAAGGTACAAGTGCTCTGGAAGGGAACGCACCCGTTTCAAAACTCTGGTCTCAACTTTCTGGGCCCAGCTACTTATGAGCTAAGGAACTTCTGCCAGGGATCTGAGCTCCTGGAGCTTCAGCAGCCCCGGCTTCAGGGCTCACAGAATAATACTCCCGCAGCTGGAAGGTTACAGGCGGCAGCATATGTGACGTGCTTGGCCCTCGGACAGCCAGTTAATATGGAGGAGACCCGGACTCCTCAGCAGGTCTCACCCCTTAATCTCGGAGAGTCTCACCTTCCTTTAGGAACCTGTCTCCTGGATTTTCTTTCTCAGTGGACAGCACAGACATGGAGCTTGGAAAGGCTCAGCTTTTCCTACGGTAAAGAGGCAGAAGCAAACAGAAAATGGAGACAGTGAGTGCCCAGTCTCCCGTGCCCTTCCTCCCTCGGCCTGAGCTGGGGTGGAAGTGCTCTTGCTCACAGCTGGGCTGTTAGGCAGGAAGCTCACCAAGGGCCTTCTAATCCTGCTCTCCTGCTCCCAGCACACCCAGCTGAGAAACTGGTTTCATGGGTGTTACCAGTTCCCGGAATGGCAGCATCAGAGTTGGCCAGTCCTGACGGAGACCAGGCTGGGTTTGGAGCTGAAATGAAGTTGCTAGTCCAGGTCCTGTCCTGTGGCCTTGGGCAAATCTCTAAATTACTTTCCTTCTCTGTAAAATTAGAGGCCTGAACTAGAAGCTCTCCAGTAGTCCCTGGCTGAGACTGACTGTCGTCTCCAGGCTGGACCCCTAGGTTTACTTGAACCAGCTAAACAGCACAGCCCGAGGACAGCGGCAATGGTAATGCACACATGTGACATCCACACCTGCCCTCTCCACTCCTGTGACCTGACTGCCTCCCTGGACCACAGATGGCAAGCAGAGCCAGAAGCGTCATCATCAAAAATGAAAGGCCCAATGAGGCTGTGAAGCAGTGGTGTGCAGATTTCAAAATCAGTGAGACAATTTTGTGGAAATAAAATCTCTCCTATCAGGCTAATTCATGTTTCTCAACAGCTACCCTGTAGATCTCTTTCAAGTAAATTATATAAGATGCTAGCTGAAAACAGCAAAGAGGGTGCCCGTGAATCTGCATTGTGATGGTTCTTTTGGTGATTTTACTAACTTATCTATGCTCATCAATGAAATCATTACATGGATAAAACTTCAAGGTCTTCAAAATAATAAAGACAAATTGTGATTATAGTAAAGATTTATTTCGCTATTTATATAGCATTGTGTCATATTTCATTTAATCCCCTTACTATATAAGCTTTGCTATCCTCATTTTACTGACAAACTAAAGCATTAGAGAATTGAAGCAACTTGCCCCAGACCACAGGATTAATAAATGGATGGATAAAACCAAAACTAAGGCCACATAGCTAGGCAACAGCTATATGGATACAAAATGTGTGATTAAAAGTTGATATACCTTTTAATTAAACATTTTTCTAAGAACTAAGCTGAGGAAGCAAGTTAGAACTATATGTATCAGTTCCTCTTGGTTGGTTTGATTAGGTACTACACAAATATTTCTGTCATTAGAACCACCATAGATTCACCAAGATAAAATGACTATTGACTGCTAAACAACATTTCTAGGATTTCTTCCAATCATGAAATGATCTAAGGTAGTCATTATTTTGAGTCAACAACCTTCCAACACAGATATATATATATAGCTGCAAACTCAGAAATGTGCTGTAGAAGTTCTCACACAGCCTATGAGTGGTCACTGGCTGGACTCTGACCTGACTTTGGCCACATGACCTGCCTGACCTTGGTCACATGAGGTTGCTTTCCTTACTGTCTCTCCACCTCGGGCCCTGGACCTGCTCTCTTAACTCAATTTGCTGATCATGTGCATGACTGCAATAATGTGACAACTTCATTAGACTTGAAGTTTCCTTTCAGGGAATAAAATATAAAATGCTGTCACTACAGATACATTTTTGGGCCAAGGATTTCATTAGTTTTTCTCCCAATGTTTTCTCTAAATTCATCTGATAGGGAAAGTGTGTGCTTGTCTTGAACTCTTGGCAACTGAAAAAGGAAAGATCTTTCAGATTTCCCATTTCTGCACTGACCAGTTAGGCCAGAATTATTATTACGGCACAGTATTGACAGTTCATAAATCTGGTGAAACTGAACAAACCTTAGTTATGTGAAAACTAGTTTTGATTTTCAAACAATTCACTAGACATTTTAATGAAAAATACAAAGTTGTTCAAAATCATATAATTTTTCAAAAATATATAAATTCTTCCCCCTGCTTTGTTCATTCCCTAAACTCCCATTCCACTGATGTGACCAAGTTTCTAAAATACGCGGACACATGTTTTTATGAATGGAAAAAAGACATCAAGAAAGACAACTTAACCAAAGAATAAATAAAATATTTACTACCTGTAAATAGATTTGGTGAAGATTTTCTAATTGAGGTTTTTGGTGTCCTTTGCTTTCTGAGCAGTGGGAGATTTTACAAATGTTGCATGCCAACATAGACTGCATAGCTATGTATTTTTTTTCAGGGTGCTGACAATGTTCTATTTCTTTTTTTATTTTTATTAGTACATATTTGCAGTACATAATGATTACATTCATGCATAGTTATATTTTGTCAAGTTTTACTAATGAGGCCATTTCTTTCCAGATAATCAATATCTAATTTCCTACAGAGAGAAGAAAAAGGGTACTTACAAGTCTCCAGTAGAAACGTGCTGCTATTTAAGACAGGCTTACGAAGAAACTCTGATTGACTCTCTTTCCTACAAAAGAAAAAAAACCCTAAGAACCAGAAAAGATAACCCAGTCAAATAAGCAAATTTTAAATATTTTGGCTGTCTTCTGTTTTAACTGAGTTAACACTAGTAAGTACCATGGCTTGAATGGAAAAAAAGCAGAATCTTAAATTTGGTGGTAAAATTTCCTATTACAACTTGAAATGGCTTCATCACTGACATCAGATGTTAGAACCTGGAGTCATCAGCTACAAAATCCAGTGACTAATTTGTGCATCAGTGCCATTAAGGGCTGATGCTAAATTAAGTAAATCATCCCGTTAAAAAAAACTTATTACAGCACACATTTGAGTAAGCATGCGCAGAAAGATCACTGAAAGAAAATATCACGATGACACCTGCTAGAAGTTGGAGAAACACATCCCTTCTGCACGTTTTATAAGAGTCCCGAGCCACTATACCTACCTTCCCAGCACCCACATGGAACCATGGAGGAGGAGTTTAGCTATCTTGCTCCTAAAAATTGAAATAAACTGCACACATATAATTTTTGTTCACAGAATGGGCTCTGTGTCTCCAGGTTTAGCACCTGAGGTAAGAAGGATGGAACAGAATAAGCCCTGCCCACCGGGCACAATGCCCCTCCCTCACGCTCCTACTGCTGCTCTGGTCTGCCATGCCCTCTTCCTGGGCCACGGCAGCAATGTCCTGAGTGAACTTCCTGTATCCATACTTGCTCCCTGCAAATCCACTCGTGTGTGTGTGTGTGTGTGTGTGTGTGTGTGTGTGTGAGACACATGCATGTATCAGGGATTATACCCAAGGCCTTCACATTAAGCTCCCCCTCACCTCTTTGTTTAATTTTAAATTTTGATCCAACTCTGTTGGGCTCCAACTCTGAATCCTCTTGCATCAGGGTTACAGGTATTTTCCATCATGCCTGGCTAAATCCACTCTTTACATAGATGTTAGGTGGAATTATTTCAAAATAAGCCTGCTCTTGATGATTCCATGATGAATCCTTCTCAGCCTTCCTATCTCCGCAGGATGCAGCACCGGGCGCCCATGAGGAGCTGGCTCCTTCTGCCTCTCCCTTTACCCCATTCCTGGCAGGCACAACCCTGAAGCTCAGAGGTTGCACCCAACCAATGGAGCCCTCGTTTCTACCACACTGGGCTGAAGTTCTTGTCCACAATCTCCTCTCCACCCCTGGCTCACTTCTGTCCATCCAAGCTGGGTCACTGGGCCACCCTTTCCCCAAGGCCTCTCTGCCATCCTCTGGCTGCTCAGGTGACCCTTCTGCACTCTGCAATGCTCTGGAACCTCTCTCTGCTCACATTTAACACAAGCATTTTAAAATCTCTGATTCATGTCTGCCTTCCTGCCTCACAAAAGGATTTTCAAGGCTTTTGAGGGCATAGACTATGAGTCACTAGTCTTATCCCCAGCAGTGTTTCACAGGTGGCAGGAGAAGTGTGACAGATAAATAATTTGTTGATGTCAAGGTGCATGAGGTGTTTCTTAAATGTGCCGCTGGCTGACTGCACACTTTGGCACTTTTCAAATCAAAAGTGGATCTTTCACCCTTGTTCCCACACCAGCTTCCCCACCACTTCTTGCTGTTCACCCCTCACTCTGAGACTGTTTCCCTTCAACTGAGTCTTCTATCTGCAGACCATTCATAGGAAACTAAGAACAGGAGGAGAAGAATCAGTGAAGAAACGATCTTATAGGAAACACTAATAAAGCAGAGATCTCGAAGATCATCAGTCCACTGATAGTCTTGTCCTGGACCCTTCCTTTCTGGCAATGCTGTTCCTCTGCTCTGCTTCCAGACTGCCATGAACTGAGCAGCTGTGCTCCACCACACCCTTCTGCCATGATGTCTCTGCCTTGGAGCCAGCTGACCATGGACTGAATCCCCTTAAAACGTGAGCTAAATTACACCTTTAAGTTGTGATTGTTGGGTAGCGTGTCTCAGGACAATAAAGCTGACTAGTGCAGTTTGATAACTACATGGTCATGCTGTCATTTTAGAGATGTGGCTATTAGGCTGGAGTTGGAATGAGAGAAGTCAGTTTAAGACAAAATGCAAGGAGGTCACTTAAAGTTTGAATCTGGGGTCCTTTTTCATCTTCCCTTTTGGTGCTTTTGCCTTGTTTTCAAGGACTGGCTTTTCTCTGTATGTGATCTGAGTCAACTGTAGATATGTAAACCATGTACAGATAGGATTTAAAGTATTTTTTGCTTCTAGAGTTTGACAAAATAATGAATATTTGTCTTCCAAATACATGCTTTCTAGTTTGGAAGTTTTAATTACTCAAGCACCCAGCCATATCAGTATGCAAATAATATGCATAAAAAGGAAAATCCATCAGGCCTTCAACAAAAAATTTCAGGAGGTGCCCAAGAATTCAGAAACCATGATAAATAATATCCGAATGTAATATATTTTAAAAATCAAAATGTATGCAAAAAAATCCATGATGAATAAAATATCAAAATTTCAAATGCATATTTGGCCCTGAATTTGTATAACAGATTCACATATCTCACCTTGTCCTGCAAACTCCCTGAAAATCTAAGTTCAAATATAAAAATCATGACAGGTTAGTTATGTAAACTTTCATTCCTAACACCTCAGACTGTAGAAGAAGGAAATGTTGCTTAGAAGTCAAACCTAGTCAGAGGTGTGTTTTGCTATAAAGATGTTTACACACTGGTGTTGTAGGACTGGGGATTAGGTTAAGTTGTTTGAGAACACATAAACAACAAGACAATTGCAGTGTATGAGTTAAGATTTAGGCTCAGCTTGCATCCAATCATCTTCCATTTTCAGAGAGGTACTGAATCTAGCTAGCTGGTTCAATGGGCATTCTTTTCCATTTTTGTTTCTTAAAGAAAACTACTGTTATATAAAAACATGAAAATATAAATGTGTCAGGTGGACCACATTGGACTCTAAAGCACATTAAACATTTCAACTGTAAGACCTGGTTTTCAGAGACTGTCCTTAAGAAGAACTAAGCTCTCCAGCATGACAATGGTGAGAACAACCAAAAGGAGGTGATCTGTGGTGATAACTGACTATCCCATTCAAGGGCGCTTTCTAGCCACAGAAGCCACATGAACTGCTTAGGAAATTGACTGACTCTGTGTCCAACATACAACAAACACTCAACCAGTGTTTACTGATTGAATAAACAAATTATTGAAACCACGGAAGTTGAGTAAAGGCTGGAATAGGTAGAGTAGGACCAGGTCATAGAGAGCTCTGAGACAAACTTTATGCTGTGGGTTTAACAAAGTTTCAAACAAAACAAAACAATTCTTGAAAAGAAAGAATGGGTGAATTGACTGGGCAACCAAATCCAGCTAAGTCTGAATAATCTTCGCCATGGGCAATAAAGACCCAATGAAGGGTGAAGACTGTAAAATTCAGGTGAGGAAGTCATGGGAGATAATGCTATTTGGCTGCTGATAGCTCTTCTCTCCTCCTCCACAGACATGAGACATCTACTGGGTACACAACTGCAGACTACATTACCAAGCGCCCCATGGCTGCTAAGTTCAAGCACAGTCATGGAAAAGACTTTGCCACTACGCATGAGTTATGAGCAGGAGCGACATATTCTGCTTCTGGGTCAACCTGAGAGAAAGGAGGGTGGCTTCTCCTTCCTCTCTCTTTCTGCACACTGGTCTGCATCTGTGGCAGTGATTCACCCTCCACACGAGGATACCTCAGGTGACTGGACAAGGACCTGACATCCCTAAAGGTGTCACAGCAATCTGCAGCCCCAGGCTTCCACATCAAATAGCACCAAACTTAGCATGTTTAATCCACTGTTGTTTTTGGACTTTGTGACGTCTGAGAAACTCACACCCTAACTAATACATGTGGATGTAAAAACATAATCGAAATGGAAATATCTGTGGAATGTGGTCCTAGGGACACTGAAGGAAGGAGACAGATGAGATGAATTATTTCCCAGGTTTTATGTCTAGAAAAATAGGACAATAATGAATCAGCAAGGAAACAGCAGGTGAGGAGGAGCTGGTGGAAAAGCCAACCGAACATGCACTGCAAACAACTGGAAATACGGTCTGAAGCTTAGACAGAGGAAAAACTGAAAATGGAAAGTTCAGCAGTTTTGTATGTTTTGTAGGTTGGAAAAGTGAGATGTAATAGAATCTTAGGCTAAAAAAGGACCAGAGAGAGCCCCAAACTACACAATGGGCTGTTCTCTCACAAGGAAGGAGGAAGCAGCAGCAACCAGAGAAGGAAAAAGAATATCTCTTCCCTAGGTGAGGGGTAATGATTAAAAACATGGAATAACAGAATTAACTCTGACTCAAGCTGACAAGCAAATTGAAAGGCAATTTGATGTGGTCTATAAATGTCTTAAATCCATTTAAAGATCTCATGAAAAATTAAAGCAGCCGTTTCTCAAAATAGAAGAGCATTCATCAGCCAGCCTCAATCATGCTTTAGTCTCTATGTAAAATTTCTAGAATTCCAAGAAAGAAAAGTGTAAACAAGTCACTTGTATCCTTCTTAAAAATTCTCACAATAGAGGAAGAAACGCAGTGAGAGGAAAAAGAAGCAGAAGTATTTGGCAACCAACTCTTTCTTTCTAGGAGGCTAATGGTTCCACACAGAAATGACAAGTCAAAAAAAACTTGCTCTTCAATTTTTATTGCTTGGGTAAATCACCAGATTTCACATGTGAGCTTGGAAGTTAATAGAGACAATACAAAGCTGGCTATATGATGTCAGCTGTGCATGTAAGAGGCACAAATCTGGGAATCCGCGTCACTCGGGAGATGGCTTCCTACTGGACGGTCACCAGGTCCCAGAACATTCCTATAATATCACACCATGCCCTGCAACAGCCCTCGGCCTGGCCATGCAACCAGAAGGACATTTCCTAGGCAGCAGCCAGACCCAGGATTTCTGTTCTTCATCCTGCTGTCTACTTCAGATTGAGGAAAGGCACCATATTAGCTTCTCCTCGAAGATAATGTTT